TTTACGAATAAATTCTTTACAAATCCTACCATGTGGATTCATGGATTTTTTTTTCCACATTCTGTCTCTCACAGTTGAAGTGTACCTCTGGTGCAAACTACTGACCTCTGTCATCATTTTAGGTGGGGGAACTTGCACAATCGGTGGCTGACTAAATACTTTTTTGCCCCACTATAATTTGCTGTAGCAGAGGTATTACAATTATTTCTGGACTAGGAAAAATAACAATTAGAAAACATCTATGTAAAGGTTCTTACCGTATAGTTTACAAAACAACAAGTACATGTGCATTGTATTAATTTGTAAATTTTTTGTGTATTTTTGATTTAGGGTCAATTGATTTTGGGTCAATTTCTGTTTTAGGAAATCTATTGTCTGGCTGAAGTTCCAATGAGGCACATGCAAAAGAATATACAAACACAAACACATAGGAACACATTTCAAGTCGTATTACAACAAACAGCATATAACTGTCACCAATAATAATAAAAAAGGGTCAGTTTTTTAAAAGGAACAAACAAGACACAGAGGTTAAACCTTTTTGAAAACACTGACAACCTTTTTCTATATATGAAACAACACCATGTAGTTCACAAAGTTGTTGTTATGTGGAGAAAAAAAGGATTAACAACTATGAAATTGATATCCCAGAATATTCTGTGCATATTTTGCATATTTCGGCCCCAAAGTGTAGCCTTGATTTGTTTTTTTGTATTTTTGGAGGGTCGGTGATGTGAGCTGTTTTTGTTTATTTTTTCCCTCTGGGAAAAACTGCAATCATCATAAGGTCAAGGTTTGTTCAGTGCTTTGATTTATACCTAAATGTTTGGAAAACCCATGACACACCCATCAGCCACAGCTGCACTTTCTATTTAGCCAGTGCTTGTATACTACAGGATCCTTTGATGTGTATGCTGGCAAACATAAAAGCAGGCTGCAAAAGTAAAACTCAAAAGTAAGACTTTTGCAATGAGTGATTCTACTTCTGTGATCTTCACACTTTACCATTACTGCTTTTTTCTATTATGAATATCATTGATATCTCCAGGTAGGTTACATCAGTGCATAGAAGGTTCTGTTATAAAGGAATTAAAAGCATGGGCTCTCTTGGTAGTTGCTGAAAATAACATCTTGTGCATCACATGGTTAACTGCTGCTAATTCACTGACACCACCGTATATATTAAATCAGAATAGGTGGTATTGTATAAATTAGTGCTATAAGTTGTAAATCACTTGCACTACATGCACAACGTATTAACTAAGAGCGGGTGATTAAAGTGTTTCTCTGACTTTACAACATACAACAAACAAGTTTAACATAGCAGGGCTTTTTCAGTATAAGCTGGCTTGACAAAACCTAAAACTCCAGTTAGAGATCCATAATGCGTTATTACAACACTGGTTATCAGCTTTCCTTATTAAACCAGTCTTTGTGCTTCGGGATCTGTGCACGGTATTATGCAGAGTGCTCTCTGCCATTTATTTCTTCAGCATCACAGCTTCAAATTAGAGCTAAAACTTTGACCTTGATGTATTCAAACATTAGTGTGTTACCTGAGTACTGCCCCATGGCCTGAAATATAAAGATCAGGGAATCACATTAGGTTTTATTTATGGGGGGATCAAAGTGTTTTAATGTTACTGGGTTTTTTTTATGTTACTGGGCTTTTTTTTATGGTTTTTATTTTACTGTTCACCTCGTCACTGATAAGTAGCCTATAAACAGACCCCCCCCCCTTTTTTGTGTCCCTTTTTTGTATAGATAAAATTCTCATTCAGCAGGTTGCAAGTATAACACTTATTCCATATCAGCAATGAGTCTGCATATTCGATACTGTTGACCATAATATCCTATTAGAGCGATTAGAACATGCTGTAGGTATTACAGGTACTGCACTGCAGTGGTTTGTATCATATCTATCTAATAGACTCCAGTTTGTTCATGTAAATGGAGAGTCCTCTTCACACACTGAGGTTAATTATGGAGTTCCACAGGGTTCAGTGCTAGGACCAATTCTGTTTACATTATACATGCTTCCCTTAGGCAGTATCATTAGAAGACATAGCATACATTTTCACTGCTATGCAGATGACACCCAGCTCTATCTGTCCATGAAGCCAGATAACACACACCAATTAGTTAAACTGCAGGAATGTCTTAAAGACATAAAGACCTGGATGGCCGCTAACTTTCTGCTTCTTAATTCAGATAAAACTGAGGTTATTGTACTCGGCCCTGAAAAGCCTAGAAATATGGTATCTAAGCAGATTCTTACTCTGGATGGCATTACCTTGGCCTCCAGTAACGCTGTGAGGAACCTTGGAGTCATTTTTGACCAGGACATGTCCTTCAATGCACATATTAAACAAATATGTAAGACTGCGTTCTTCCATTTGCGCAACATCTCTAAAATTAGAAATATCCTGTCTCAGAGTGACGCTGAAAAACTAGTTCATGCATTTATTACTTCCAGGCTGGACTACTGTAATTCATTATTATCAGGATGTCCAAAAAACTCACTGAAAAGCCTTCAGCTAATCCAAAACGCTGCAGCAAGAGTACTGACAGGGACTAGAAGGAGAGAGCATATTTCTCCTGTTTTGGCTTCCCTTCATTGGCTTCCTGTTAAATCCAGAATTGAATTCAAAATCCTGCTCCTCACATACAAGGTCTTAAATAATCAGGCCCCATCTTATCTCAATGACCTTGTAGTACCATATCACCCTATTAGAGCACTTCGCTCTTGCTCTGCAGGCCTACTTGTTGTTCCTAGAGTATTTAAAAGTAGAATGGGAGGGAGAGCCTTCAGTTTTCAGGCCCCTCTTCTATGGAACCAGCTTCCAGTTTGGATTCGGGAGACAGACACCATCTCTACTTTTAAGATTAGGCTTAAAACTTTCCTTTTTGCTAAAGCATATAGTTAGGGCTGGACCAGGTGACCCTGAATCCTCCCTTAGTTATGCTGCAATAGACATAGGCTGCCGGGGGATTCCCATGATGCATTGAGTTTTTCCTTTCCAGTCACCTTTCTCACTCACTATGTATTAACAGACCTCTCTGCATTAAATCATATCTGTTATTAACCTCTGTCTCTCTTCCACAGCATGTCTTTTATCCTGTCTTCCTTCTCTCACCCCAACCGGTCGCAGCAGATGGCCGCCCCTCCCTGAGCCTGGTTCTGCCGGAGGTTTCTTCCTGTTAAAAGGGAGTTTTTCCTTCCCACTGTTGCCAAAGTGCTTGCTCATAGGGGGTCATATGATTGTTGGGTTTTTTTCTCTGTATCTATGAAGCGCCTTGAGGCGACTTATGTTGTGATTTGGCGCTATATAAATAAAATTGAATTGAATTGAATTGAATTGAATTGCATATCACCAGGAAAAGAATGAAAATTGAATCTAAACTCTGAACATAAACTACTCCCTGATTAAAACTGGTGACCGGATGATGGCTAAAGAATCACAGACAACCAGATGTCGATGTTATTCCTACCCAGAAGATAGGTGTGATCAGACTGTCTCTTATGAAGCGAAAAAGGGTAGGGTGTTTAGTTATCTGACACAATAACCCCAAGTTAAATCACAATGTTTGTAATTCCCAACATCATGTTGTTAATCCTTTCTAGCAGCTTGTGTGTTTTAACCATTCAGATTGTTTCTACATCGTTGTGTTGGTCCTGAAGAAAATCTTTGCTTCCCACATATCTGTCAGCTTCTGCAGCACTGTATCGGTTACTACTCTTTTCTCCATGTGAGGATATTTGCATCCATGCATCCATTGCAATTTCCTCCAAATGGCCTCTACTGGTTCTTGAAATACTTTAAATAATCAATTACAGCCACTTCTGTTCTGGCCACAGTAATTTCACAGTTTCTAAAAACTGCCAATAGTATTGATTAGTATGTAAAATTGCTAAATGAATATCAGCGTTGAAGCAATGAGGACTCTCTATTATGTAGACTTGCCTCATTTTCACCAAGAATTTAGCTGAAAAGCTTGTTCTGCAAAAGCCAAATCACACAAGAGAAGTAAATTTTAATGATGCAAGAGATTCTTCCTATACAGCTGTCAATACAACTTAGATTTTAGAGAAATACATGATCCTTGCACTGTTTCTAACATCAAAGCTAGGTTTCTCCTCAGATGAATCCATCCGAAAGGAAGGTTACATCATAGCTGTTGTTGTGGTCAAAGTATTTCTACAAGGCGTTGTTTTTGAGAAAATACCTTTAGGAGTTACATAAGCTAAATGTTTAGAAAAACTGAATCAGTGAGGTACACCACCCATTAAATTCATTTCAGTGATTGGTGAAATAAAAACATATATGTACAAACATACAGTATAAATAATTTACATCAGTATCTTTTGTAAAGTCTTGCCTCCCCCCGTCTTCTTCCATCCATCGTATTTTCTTTTTTGATTTAACAATCTCATGTTAAAGGTATGAAACACAATAATCCATGAGAAAATGTGTCTGAAATTAAATCAGAGCATTTAATGAGTGAGAATTTAACCTCACATGACGATGATGGTGACCACATTCTCCAACTCAATGCCATAATTTCCTCTGGGAAAATGTAATCAAGATGTGGCAATGTATGAATTTATGACAAAGTGAAAGAAGGTGTGTTTATCTGCAGCTTAATCAGTATGCCGTCTCTTTAATGATGTTAGTGGAAAGGGTGTGGCTACTGGAGATGCTAATGGAGTGGCGGTTGAGGGGGTATGGTTGATTCCTGTTTGTGTGACGGCAGGGCATGCAGAAGTACCGCAACGTGGAGAAGAAGATCTGACGGTAGGTGGCTGATACCAGGTTGTACAAGACAGGGTTTATGGCCGAGCTGACGTAGAACAGGACATTGGTCAGCATGTAGAAATAGTGGTAGAAGTCATATAACTCACTGGAAGAAAACACAAGGGAGAAGTATAAGGAAATAGTTATATGTCCAATGTTTAAGTCTAAACATAAATATATTACTTTTAATGCTTTGCATAAAAAAGATACACAGGTGCAGTGTGACTTGTACAGCAAAGTTAGTGCATTTGAACAGCCTCCGGAGCACCACATGGTGTCGAGACTCATCCAAAACTGGAAAAAAAAAAAATCTCAACTACATGTGGTACTTGTACTGCCGAAAAACAATAAAATCAATTAAAAAAAACATGGCAGTTTCAAAATACTAACTTTAATAACTGACATTCAAAATGCAATATCGACATAAAGATAGACTAGTAATGTTGCAGTCTTCATTATTTATTTTTTGCCTGACCCGTTTGGTTCTTTAGCCTTCAGAATTGATGTCTTAAGGCCAACAAAGATACCAAACGGATTTACTTTATCAAGTGGACCACCGGGGCCTTGCCTTGATTGACCTTTGTTGTTATTATTCATTTTATTTTATTTTATTTTATTTTCAGTTGTTACAGACGGGACAGACATGGCTAGGGGATAGGAAAATAATGGGGAGGGGGGGGGGCTCCCCTGTGTGGGTGTGTGTGGTATAGTGGGAAGAGAAGAGGAAGGCAGTCGGGGATGGCAGTCGGGGATGGGAGGAAAGGAAGGGAAGGGAAAGCAGCCCCTCCCTGGGGCCAGCTCCCCCACTGACCCCAATAGGCACCCCCACCATCTGGAACCCACCAAGGCCATCCAGACCGGGGCCCACGGCAGCAGCACCGCCAAGCTCCACAGACCCGGAGCAGCCCACCTGACCCCACCGCAGAGGAAACTGTATCCACCCCATCCCACATAGCAAGAAAGTCTGGCCCAGATCTGGTATCAAGCCGGCACTGCTGGCTGACTTCTGGCATGATAAGACGTATGTCATCCAAATATGGGCCAGGCCTGGCATAGATGGCACTGTCTATGTGATGGCATGCCATATCTGGCTCTATTGTGGTTTGGATTATGTGGTCCAGGCCCATAGAAAACAGATCTGGCCCAGATCTGGCATCAAGCTGGCACTCATGCCCAGCTAGCGGGTGGCTGTAGCTCAGGAGCTAAAGCACGTCACCTACTGATCGGAAGGTTAGTAGTTCGATCACTGGCTCCTCCAGTCTGCAAGTCAAGAGTCTGAATGTGTAACAATGTACACACAACCTCAGCGACACACCAACGAGGACCCAAGGCCCAGCTAGAGCCCCAGCATGGAGGCGGAGCACCCTGAGAACCCCAAGCCCCCACCTTACACCAGCCCTGCTGCATGCAGCCATGAGGAAAACGCCATCTAAGAGCCTCCAGAGCCCAGTTGCAGCAGATGGCCGCCCCTCCCTGAGCCTGGTTCTGCCGGAGGTTTCTTCCTGTTAAAAGGGAGGTTTTCCTTCCCACTGTCGCCAAAGTGCTTGCTCATAGGGGGTCATATGATTGTTGGGTTTTTTCTCTGTATCTATTATCGTCCGATCTACTGTACAATATAAAGCGCCTTGAGGTGACTGTTTGGCGCTAGTAAAGTAAAAACCATGAGGTTTATATTTATTAGGTATGTGTGTTGTTGAATGAATGCCAAATGCTATCATTTTTCTGTTGAGTAAATTTACCTTACCTACAGGTATAAAGAAAGTTACCTTACTTCACCTTACCTTACCTTACCATGTGGACTGTATTCATTTCTTTAGTGACATCATCCAATTTGCCCAACAAGCACACTAAAGGGGAGGTTGGAATTTTACATTTCAGACACTTTGATAAGTCTTCACATATCCTGCACCAAAACATCTGAACTGGTGGACAGAACCAAAGAGCGTGGATGTAATTGTCCGTGGATGTGTATTGCCTTGACAATGTTGCAGTCTTAAATACAATCTTTAGAACCTGATTACCCGCTGATTTACTGGGAATTTTAAGTTTTTGGTCTCTTACTCTTAATATCTTTAACTTGCAGACTTCAATTCATTAATTGTACTTACAGTGAAATTGTGATTTAAACAAATGACATAACAGAAAACGAGTAGTTTTGCAGTAAACAGTGCTAACTACTTTTCCTGAAAGTAGACTTAAATTCACCTCACCCCCCGCTATGTGCCAATTGTGAGGTGGGAACCTGTGACCACCAGGACTGTTAGGAGGTGGTCAGAGGAGGCAATAGCGGAACTACAGGGCTGTTTCGAGGTGACCGACTGGGAAACACTCTG